ATCGATTGGACCGCGAAAGTCTGCATAATTTCGAGAATTTTTAAGTGAAGAATATGACACCGGCCATTTTTTGACCGCAGTGGCAGGTTCAGTGTTACCTGTGCCATTGTTATTATAATGTCTGGTCGAATTAAGAAACTTATTCGATCGATTGCTGCGCGAAATTATGCAGAATTTCAAGAATTTTTAAGTGAAAAATATGACACCGGCCATTTTGAGCGCAGTGGCAGCTTCAACGTTATCTGTGCCACTGTTATTATAATGTCTGCTCCAATCAAGAAACTTATTCGATCGATTGGACCGCGAAAATCTACATAATTTCGAGAATTTTTAAGTGAAGAATATGACACCGGCCATTTTGACCGCAGTGGCAGCTTCAGCGTTATCTGTGCCACTGTTATTATAAATCTGCTCCAATTAAGAAACTTATTCGATCGATTGCAGCGCGAAAGTCTGCATAATTTCAAGAATTTAAAAATGGAAAATACGGCCATTTTGACGCGTTAACGCGTCCGCTGTCAGACAACCGAGGGAATTGAGAACAGGCAGAGGCGAGTTTTCGATTCCGAAGAATGAAACTCTGTTAAGCCAAACATGGGCGAGGCAAGCGAGCGCGTCTCGCGGTGAATGAACATCGAAGAGATGGGTTTCGAGAGAACGAGGCTCGAGATGGTCGATGGTTTTCCAGCAGGAGGAAGGATCATGCGGGAAAGGAGGTTGCCCCGTCTCGCGTGCAATATTCAGCGCATCCTTTCGCTTTCCGCGTAACGCGGTAGATCAGATTGCTTCGACATGAATTATTCTCGACATTCTATTTAACGCCAACAAAAGCCGCTCTCTCTCTCTCTCTCTCTCTCTCTCTCTTATGCCACGTGGTTGCCACAGAGAGGCGAGAAACTGTTTTATTATGAATACTCCCCGGGTTCGAGAGCTGTGTAAATGTTCCTCCCGTTACAAGCCGGAGCGCTGCCACGTTACGAAGCGGCGTTCTCCGCCGCTCGGTTGCCTGCGAACTCCATTCAGTGTAAATCATTCGGACTAGGAAACGTGTGCCACCGCTTCGTTCCTCCGGCATTGATTTACAGCCCCGAGGAGCCCGTGATCAAGGTTCCCGGCGAATCGCTTCGTCTCGCTCCACTTAGCCTCTCCCGAATCCTCGCGCGAATCCCGGGCGTCGCGGAAAGACCGCGCGGAATCGTCCGAAAAAGTATCGCGCGCTCGAATCCCATTACTTTTACGGCTCTCGAGGACTTTTGTGAAATCCTGGCCGGCTGATTCACGAAAGGACCAAAGGACCTAATCCTTGCTCTTTCTTGGTTCTGACGACCAATAACGTAGCACGTACGACAAGTAAAATTTAGCGCGATTGTCCAGTTTTATAGGACGTTGAAATTCGTTAGTAACAATAACGATTTGCAGCAAATGTTATTAGGTTCGAAACAAGTCTTTATAAACTGCTCGCCTGATTCATTGATTCTCCGACAATCGGCATAAATTATGCTCTTGTTTTTGTTATTGTAACGATGGATGTTATAATATGATAACACGGTAATCAAAATTCGAAGGTTAAAGAAAACTTGATGGGGTTTTCATTTCGTTCGGACCGAGTCGATTAAACGGTTCGGCGCGGCATTGCAATCGTTTTCGCAGCATCGACATATCTGCGGCTATCGTTTTACCGAAAGTTTGAAACAAGTTTTCGTAAACTGATCGCCTAATTTGCCGAGCCTCCGCTATCTCCGTTGTTGCGAAAACGTGTGTTTGCTCGCGTTTTTGTTTCGTTGTCCTCGCGTATACGAAACAATTTAAATCAAATCAAATTAAATTTAATTAAATCAGATTGAATTGAATCGAGTTGAATTCAATTAAAATATTTAATTAAATTGGATCGAGTTGAATTGAATTAAAATGGTCTCTACACGCGAAACACGTGATATCTCCTTAAGAAGGAGATTTCCAAGGAACGGTTCGCGTTTCATGGCAGGCGTATAGAATTGCTGTGAAAGTGGCGACGGTCCGCAGGTCCCGATAACGTAAAACTGATGGGTTTCGAGCGTAACTATGTACTTTCGAACGACGCGACGAAGGCTTCGTTACGCCGTTTGGCGCGTGCTCGCCGCCTATCTGCGCCTCAACAAAGAGCTGTTCATCCTTGGGGACGCTTATTATTCATAAGAAAGGTAGATTCTGAATAAATCATAATAACGAATGCGTCAGAGGGTTCTGACGTCCTACGGCGCGATCGCGAATGCACGCCGCGCCTCTGTTGCGGCAGGTGCTTCTGCGGCCGTTGCAGCACGCGCCCGATCTTCGCAGGATACCGGTGTGTGATAGCGGTAATCCTCCGCAATATTCGGGCATTCTTCGCGGCGCCGGAATCGAGATTCACAATCGGAGGCTTTCGATCGGTGGAGAGCCAGATGCATTTCTCTCGCATCGTCGCTCGTTTTGTAAACAAAAATGGACACTCTTTGGGAGGAGGAGATACGATTATCCGAGCCCCGCGGCTCGCTTCTATGGTCGTTGAGAATGGATAACTATAAAAACGAGTCGCAGAGCTCGAATAATCGTGCTCCCAAGCTGGGGAGAGGCTACAGCAATGTCTCCCTTACCGAGGCTCAGATTGTCCAATAAAATAGATAATTTGGGAGGAGGAGATGCGATTATTCGAGCCTCGCGGCTCGTTTTTATAATTGTGGACAATTTATAACTATAAAAACAAGCCGCAGAGCTCGAATAATCGTGCTCCCAAGCAAGGAGACAACACGCGAGAGAGACCACAGTAATGTCTCCCTTACCGACGCTCAGATCGTTCACTAAAATTGATAATTTGGGAAGAGGAGATGCGATTATTCGAGCCTCGCGGCTTTTTTTTATAATCGTGGACAATTTATAACTATAAAAATAAAACCGCGAGGCTCGAATAATCGTATCCCCTCTTCCCGAATTGTCCATTTCAGTGGACAATCTGAGCGTCAGTAAGGGACTCATTACCGTACCGCGTTCCGAAGCTGCCGAGGAGCGGGTTCCGTTCAAAAATGCCCGACGACTGGCCGACGTATCATCGACGGGCAGGGACGAATAGGGACGCCATTGCTGATGCTAGATGAACGGAGTTTGCGAAGTGTCGGCCTATGCGAAGAGAGCATGGCTCCGAAAGCGCCACGGTCCACCGGTCTCATCCGAGTTGACCGAGCCCGAACTACTCTCGCTCGTCTGGAAACGAGCATGCGAGGCGGAGACAATGGCTGGCGAGAAGGTCGAAGAGACGATAAAACGGGCGAGCAGAGCTCGACAGCCGGAGAAAAGAAGAAAGAAGGAAACAGGGACGCGAATCGAAGCGGGAGGGACGAGGACAGTGGGATAGAAAGGGAATAGAGGAGAGAATCGGCGCGACTCCTAGGCCGGCTCGGAGTGGAACGGCGCGGCGCGAGGCTGCTCGTTAGGTTCACGGAGGTCAGACTGTAGGTGATCTGGCCCCGGAGGGTACGAACCCGGGGCATGTAGACCGGAAGTAACGTCACACCCGCGTGGCTCTGAATGCGCATACCGGATGCGTGGCATCGGCTCCCCATCAGAGAACCATCAACATCACATTCACAATTCCTGCACATCGCCGCCTCGTCGCACATCACATCACATCGCATCGCTCGCATCGCATCGCATCGCATCGCATCGCACCGCGTATAAACCGCGTCTCCACGCTCGCGTACTCACGCACCCGTTTTCTCTCCCTCTCCCGAATAACCTCTGGCCAAAGCACCGTTCTCTCCTCTCTCGTCGCCGATTTTTCGACAAATTTCTCCCGCGGCCGCTCGACCGTGTCCCGTGCGCAACCAGTCGAGAAGCTCCCGTCTGACCATCGAGATTCGGCTCTGCTCTTCTGCTTTTCACGAACGATACCCCGTTCACCAGCGTTTTAATCGCTATACATCGCCGCCGTACGCGTAACGGGGCCAAGACTGATGGTCTTGGCCCCGGACGCGAGCCATTTTTATTATTATTATTATTATTATTATTATTATTATTATTATTATTATTATTATTATTATCAATTATTGTTCTCCGTTTTTCTCTTTTTTTTGCTTCTCGATTTATATTTATTATCATTATTATCCTCACTTCTCCATCCCTTTTGCACTATATTCCCCCTTCTCTTCCTTCCCCCCTATTCTCCGTCTTATCTCTAAAATCTCTAAAATCTAATCTCTCTAAATCTTACACTTTTTCTGACAAAAGGTTTCTCCGAGTTTATACGTGTCGGTAAATCGTCTCGATTTTCGGAGAATTTTCGTGGTCGATTGTCGGCGCTGAGCGTGTTAAATATCACCGTTTTAGCATCGCACGCGTTCGAGGCAAACGCGGGTGCCTAAATTACGAAACGAGAAGTCGATCCTGGGATGAAACGAAAATCTTGATCGATCCCCGATATTCGAAGGACCGCCGGATTCGAAGGTCGCTGGATTTAGAAAAGAGCGCATTGCTCGGCGATCGCGACCGGCTCGGGGAATCGGAGAATGCAAGAAATTGACGGAGAGGGCTTTTCTGTGGAAGAGGCGGTCGTTACTCTCGCATGCATCTCGGATGCATTTAAGATCCGCGGACGCAGGCGGTTGTAATTCCCGTGGCTGCGCCGTAACGAGTACGGCAGCGCTAATAACTCTTGATAAAAGGAATCGAACGGTCGGTGTTACTCGTTACGCGCGATTATCGGCGTCTCGTTATCATTAACACCGAGGCCGAACGATCGCGGGGTAATGGAGCAGTTTCCTCGAGGATGATATCCACGTTAGGGACTGCCGGTGTCGATGCGCCGGTGCACCGGCGCATCGACGGCGTCGCAACTCGAATCGTAATATCTCCTCGATCCTGTAATTAGAAGTCGTTCGGGACCTTGTAGGATACAAAGGGTGGCCCGCACCGGCGAACCGATCAGGTCGGAGAGGGAAACGGACCCGCGAGCAATTAGAGGAAACCGAGTGGAAGAAGCGTGTACCGACCTTTGGTGATGTTCAGGCGAACACGTTCCTTCTCCCACGAGGCGAAAGAGGCCTCCAGGGCCTCGGTCATCTTCTTGTTGGTCCCAGGTGTTAACGGCGGCACTTGCGCCGGGATATCTGAAACAGCGAATGCGGGGATCTCGATTATTTCGGGCCGTGACTTCGCGAGCACCTATCGGGGTTACAGGTTGCGCGAGTTCCACGGGAAAAGTCTAACCGGCGCTTGGAATACTCGGGGAGCTCCATTTGTATGAACCGGAAGGGGGACAGGTCGGTCGACGTAACCAGCTTGTTCGCTCCAATTGTTTGTTTATTTATTCTAACGGGCGGAATAATCCGAACGACGCGATGAAATTCGGAGGAGTCGAAACTCGACGACAAATGGCACGATGCGTGACATGCGTCGTCAATTATGTGAATCGTTTATTTTGAAAGCGGTGTAAGTCCATTTTTTTTAAGACAAATGAGATGTCACGTACGATGTGACATTTTCATTGATAACTAGTTAATATTTAATATTTTGAAAAATGCCAGTGTTTCGTTCAATTGAAAATTGGCCAATAAAAGAAATTGCGTAGCGATCGATTATTATTATTATAAAGTGATGTTAGTCCAATTTCCATAGACGTAGATGGCGGAGTCGCGTAAAAAAATTCTTGCGTATTATGATGTTATAAAACAATGTAGAAGAAATAATAGATTTTTTTATTTTGCACGAAATGAAACGAGAGAATTTCGTTTCAACAAAAAATCTACAAAATGCAATTGAAAAACGGGTAAGAAAAAATACTAACGGAGTAAAGGTAAGGTAGGAAAAGTGCACCGTATAGCAAACTTGCACTTATAGCAAAAGTGCACCGTATATCATTTTATATAAAACATGGATGGAGGACACAGAATTTAAGACGTTATTTTTATTGACGTTGATTTGTCATCAACATGTCGGGGAAGCCGCCAAAATTTGAAAGAATTGCCCTGATGCCTCTGTGCATCAAAAATATTTCAAGACACTGCCACATGAAAAGCATAAATAAATAATAGAAATACCTTATATCAAGTTTGACAATATATATAAATATAATTGACGTTCAAAATAAAAAATACTACTTCTATTTTATTTCTTGTTATTATTGATAAACAAAATTGGATTTATGCAAGATATATTTTAAGTGATATTTAATTTTTCATAATTGATTTATTTATAATTTATATATAAAACTTTTCTTCTTTTGTACGTTTTTAATCCGAGTGGTATGAAAATTGGTAATAGGCACGGAAACTGGAGCATCCGCCTCGGAAATTTCAAAAGGGAACATAAATTAACCCTTATCGCTCCTATAATTTTACAGAGCGTTTTGTAGCCAACACCAGACAAATTAGAAATAATAAAATTCAATTCAATATTTTACTTGGAAATGACGGTAGATATTTCCACGGTAGAATTTCCACGCTGGTAGAACGCTGGCTAAACCTTGACACAGTACAGTAAATTCTCCCTAATTTTCCCTGAGCTTGTAAATCAAAATGGACAATCTAGAAAGAAAAGATACGATTATTCCAGCCCTGCTCCTCATTTTTATAGTTACCGATCGTCAATAATTATAAAAACGAGGTGCGACGCTCGACTAATCGTATCCCCCTTTCCCAAGTTATCCATTTTTGTTTACAAGCTGAAGAAAAATTAAAGAGAATTTACTGCATTACTGCCATTTGTAATGATAAGGATTAATAAGTGAAACTGTAATCTAATAAAAATACTCGGAGAACAACATTTTCTCGATATTTCTCTAGACAACGACGATGCATCGGTGAATTTGCTCGGTCCTAAAAGGGTTAAGAGCTCAGTCAGAGTTCAGTCAACCGGGCGCTGCAATAAATCTTGTTCATACAAACGGAGGAATACAGGATAAACGGAGTTTCACTGTAGCTAGTTTCCTGTACCCCCACCACCGCCGTCTCTCGGAGCGCGGCCAAAAAATGTCTCGAGCACGGAACCCCGAAATTCCTGCGAGCCTCGGGACTGGGGTAGCCGGTAGGTGTCAGCAATCGGCACGAAACGAGGTCTATCCGTAGAAACGGAGGGGCGGGTGGATGTGTGAGAAGGCAGGTTAATGGTACTTCTCACAAAGCGGCGTACAGGCAGGGAGCACGCGCGCGCTGGCTGGCTCGTACGAGAGAGAGAGAGAGAGAGAGAAATAGAGAGAGAGAAAGAGAGAGGGAGAGAGAGAAAGAGAGGGGGAGAGAAAGAGAGAGGGAGAGAGAGAAAGAGAGAGAGGGATAGAGAAAGAGAGAGGGAGAGAGAGAGTAAGAGAGAGTAAGAGAGAGGGAGAGAGAGTAAGGGAGAGAAAGAGAGAGGGAGAGAGTAAGAGAGAGAAAGAGAGAGGGAGGGAGAGCGAGAGTAAGAGAGAGGAAGAGAGAGGGCGGGAGAGCGAGAGAGTAAGAGAGACAGTGAAGAAGGAGCGTCAGGTGTCGCGGCGGCGGCGGCGGCGGTGTCGGCAGGAGCAGCGAAAGCGAACAGGCGAGGGGGCATGCACACCATCCTAGATAGCATCGTCGTAAAGAGGGGTGCAACTGCCGCGGCCGGGCAGGTGCAGGTGCATCGTCGTTGTAGGTACGCTTGCTCTATGCCGTGCACACCGCGGCCCGACGCTGTACGCCTTATGGCGCTCGCGCGGAATGCCTCTCTCTTATTCCGATTCCTCTTCTCCTTCGCTCCTCCTTGCCCTTCTTCGCCCGCGCCGCTCTCTTTTCACCCGGTTCCCTTTTCTGGAACACTTTTTCCCCCGTAAGACCGTTTTACGATCGCGTAAGGTACAGGAGCCAATTACTGCGCCCTGTTAAACAGGCCTTCGGGAGTTTTCGCTAGCGAACGCGACTTTAGCAATTCAAATGACATTTCTCGAGGACTTAATTCATCGGGACGCACGACTTCGAGGAGAATGAGAGCCCCAAGCTGCACAGAATACACCGTTGCGAATGAGAAAAATTCGCTGCGCCGCTCAATTCGCCAACTTAATCGCTTAATCGCAACGCGGTGTCCGACAACTTGCTAGTGAATTCTCCCTAATTCGCGCTCCGATTGTGCACGGAAATGGGCAATACGGGAGCAGCAGATACGATTACTCGAGCCTTCTCCTCCGAAATTGTCCATTTTTGTTCGGAGGCTGAAGGAAAATTAGGGAGCGAATGCGTAAATTAACGCGTCAATTGCGTAAACGTTTGTTCTCGCTTATTCTCACGCGTTAAGATATAAACGCAGCTAATTGAAATATTAAACTGTGCAACTACGAGTAACTTCGACTTTTCCTGGTGGCTTAAAATTCGAGAGATTCCTATTTAGAGATTCCTATTTCTTCCTGTGCGCGTGCTTCGGTGCGTGTCCGCGTTAAGAACACGTGTACCCGTGAAGTATTTCACGCGTGCATGTTTAAACGCACTCGTAGTATCTCGCATCGTGCATATTCGGGAACAAACTAGCATCGCGAGAAAATAAGTTACGCGTGGATCGTGATAGATGGACGCGTGCATGTAACGAAATGCGCGTGAATTAATACGTGTATATTTAAAGACGCGTGAAATAATTCGCGGGTACACGTGTCCTTATTATGAGCACGTGTGCACGAAGTGCACGTTGAAGCAGATAAAACTACTAGGATCCTCCGTCGGCGAGCCAAATTTCCTTTAACTTCTCCTCGAATCTACGATTCTTTCCCTCGAACGCTCCCTCCTTTTCCTCGCACGCTTTTCTGGAATTCCATTTCGCTTTGTTCCGTTTCAACGAACGCGTTCACGAATCCGGCTACTTTGCAAACCGTCGAATCGATCTTTGCAGCACTGTGTCAAGGCGAGAGCTAGAGGCGAATCAAGTTGGAACACGGTTGATCAAGAGCTAATGCTTGGCCAGCGCACTATGACCCAACTCAGACATATCCCATGCCCATAAAGCGGTTCAAGATTCGTGCGATGATCGAATAAGCCAACGTATGCATTGGCTTATTGGCAAACGCCTAAGCCAAGCCTGGACGTTAAACTCGTGATCTATGAAACGAACATCGAGCCAGCAGAATCGCGGGGCTGGAAAAATCCTCGAAGCAATTACAAATGGTCCGTGGTACGTTGGAAACGATGAACTTCGCGAAGAGCTAAAAATAGGAACGGTATCAAAAGAAATTGGACGACGGTGCAACGACTATAAATTGAGACTGATTCATCATCCGAACGAATCAACGAATGAACTACATACAAGGCACCGACACTGTCGTCCTAAAACACAAAAGGAAGGTCCTATCTGCAAAATTTGGTGATTTGATATTTTTTTTAGTAAGCGTATTTATTCGTATGGATCGATAATATATAATTTATGAGATCCTAAGAACTCGCGTGGGACATTAGAACTTAGCACACGTGTAGAAAATATGGACAGCAATCTAGAGGTACCAAAATGTCGAACTACCAAATTTTGCAGACGGGATCTTTTGTTTTAGGATGACAGAGCACGCCTAGAAGACCGCAAAGAAGGCATCCCAAAAAGTTCCTACAATGACACAATGTCCTCTCCGATACCTTCAGTACCTATAGTATTAATATTATTATTAATATTATAATATTATTAATTATAATTCAATTCACCAAGTATTCTCCACGAACGAATTATAAAGACTACTAGGGCGATAAAAAAGTGTTAAAGGTGTTAATCCTCGAACGACGGATATGTTGACAATAATGTCAAAATTAATTGACGATAATTTGTCGATAATAAAGATCATTTATAATCGTATTCATCAATTTCTCTCGACGCATCTTTTAACACTAAACCAACCGACCTGTAATGATGATTAGCGTGCATCGACTCGTAAGAGTGAAAAGATAGAATTCGCTTAGATTTTGTAAAACTTTGATCATAAGACTTGTTTCAATAATATAATTTATTCAATCATTTTCCACGAAGAAGTATCCAAAGTTTGTAGTGTCGTAAAATAAAAAATCGGTCATTTTCACCGTGGTAGGTTTAGCGTTAAGGTACTCATTCCGAATTCTAGACACATTGATTATTTCATAGACCTTAACGAAACTTATGCGTACATTTAAAATAATTGTTAGAAACTGAGCGATCGACT